TGCTTATCACCTTTGGCATGCCAATTTTTTCCTCACTGACTCAGGTGGGACCTGTTATGAAACAAAATCTAATTGTCACTTAGCTTATGCAACTCTCTACCAAAATATCACTTATTATGTACACAGTGTTGTTGCATTACTTCTCTTTGAGAGAATGATTTGATGCAACACATTACTGACAAGACCAATAATTAGATTCATTCAAACAAACTGTCACACAGCTTTTCTCCACTCTGATGAACTTGAGCTTATTGTGCATTTGGAAAGTTCAGCACAAATTTTTGCCAAGGGTTTTCATTTTCACTTTTGCTAACCAGAACCCAGAGAGGATAAAAAGTCTGTCTGCTGGGTTTTTTCTGCTACTGTGCAGTATGACAGCAGATCTAATTCAACCTGCTTAGCACAGTAGAAAAAAAGACAAGAATCAGGAATGTGTAGACTAGCCTTAATGGATGTTTTGTTTTCTCAGAATCTGTGCCTCCAGTTCTAGAGGAGAACATAGAAACTGCTTTAGAATATGACATAATCGGATATTTTCATTTCAGAATGTCAGCGGTAATCAGCTGAACAGCGCCTGGCAACTGTAAGGTTTTTTTGGATGATATACCAGTGCCCTTGTTTCCTGACCTCCTTCTGTGACAAAGTTTGAACAATGCTGATATGAGAAATCTTAATGATACTACAAATGGCTTAAGCCAGTGGGAGGAGTTTGGATACAAATGGGTCAAAAGCAGAAAATTTAGTTATTTTCCTGTTTCAGCCAGAATCTGTACAGGAGTGGGAAAGAGCACAGAGAAGTAGATTCTCATGATGGCTAGGTCTTGTGCTTGGCTCACAAGACTGAAAGAGGCATAGCTGACCCTGATCATGGGTAGTACTGAAGGGATAACTAGTCCCAAGAGTCTGAGAGTGCCACTTTGTTAGCAGCAATCTTTGCTCAGCTGAGATTGTGCCCAGTTTTTCCTACACCTGCTGCATCCAGCTTGGATCTACTCAGAGTGGATGGCCTGAAGGCTTTCTGATGTTAGGCATTTGGGAGCTGTAAGTCAACTGCACAAATAACAGCTTAATTATGAAAGAGGCTTTGGGTTCTTTCTTCCTCATGGGCACACCCTAAGAAGAGAGCCATGGCACACCTGTGCCTCACAGGGTAAGACACTGCTCCCAGGAGGTGCTGAAGGCACTGTGAAATTTGAAGCAGCCTGTGACTTTGTATAGGGCTGCAGCAACTAGGGCTGTGGAGCATGAAGGGCGAGCTAATCTCACCTTGCATTGAGTTGGGCTTGGAAGCTGCAAGTGAAGGTAGGTTATCTATGCCTCTGTTACATGCACTGAGTACCACTGATTGCAGCCCCCAGGCACCACCTAACCCACCCTGCCACAACAGTATATACCGAGAGCTTTGACTTCCCAGGTCAAGAATTGGCAACCCAGCATCTTGCCTCTGACTGCACAAGCTTGAACCTGTTGTGTTTTGATGGCAATCAGAAGCAGAGTTTTAATGAGCAATGTGCTACATAGTATTCTGCTGGTACTGACAAACAGGCCAATATAATTAAATTGAGGGAAATTTGTTTATTCAGCTGTCTGGAGTTCAAAGATCTAATTGTAATTCAAAGGAACAAAACTGAAGCCAAGTTCTTTCTCCTGATGGAAAGGAAATCCTTCTAAATAAAGTCTTTGCAAACAGAAGGCACTAGATTAAGTGTTTTCAAACCATGCAAAGTGAATGAAGAAATATAACTTTATGTATAAAAAGACATATTCCCGTTTTATAACCAATTAAACATCCATTTGCTGAAAAGAATATCTTTTTCTGAATGGGAAGGAATAAGTAAATCAAATATGTTCTTTTGCAAAGGCAATGTGTCACTGAATATCAATGTGATGAGAAAGCTTCAAAAGTCAAACAGCTGGTTAGTAGAGTCTGCTGCATGAGACAGTGCAAGATTAGACATATGTCTGTCTAGAAATTTTCTCAAATCTAGAACAGCCTTAATGAACAGCAGCCCACAGTCACTAAAACTTCCATTTCTTCTTGGAAACTATTTGTATGAAAGAAATATCTACCTCTTTGTTTGGTCACCTGTCACTTCAGGCCATTTTGGTACTCCTCATCCGAAAATTCAGCAAGAGGCTCGTGACATCAGTGGGAGACAGAATACGGTGAATATAGCAAGGGGAAAAGGCCACTGAATTCCAGCTTTTATCAGAATTCCAAGAGGATCATAAATTTGCGTGGGTATGCAGTTGTCTAAATGTCTGTGTAAACCTGCACCTCAGCCAGAACAATCAGAGGGGCATCTCTACCCAGATGAGCAGGACTGTAGTTGTGCAATGCCATTAATACTAATGAAAGTCATAATGACAAAGCCCTTTTCATCTCCTTTAGACTTTCCTTCTGATTATATGGCCTAAATTTTGCGAGTGCTTTTAATGTCTAGAACAAATTTGGCAAAGCCTAGATTATACCCAAATGCATATTAAATTCTGGTTTTACTTTTATGACTGCTAAAAGTTTTTGATAGTAATATAGATATGAAAAAGCCCACATATTTACCTACTTGCAGACTGCAGTTTCATTTTTTGAAGGTTAGTGTTTCAGACACTGGTAAAAATATCTCATCATTTGAGGTATTCCCACTTTGACATTAATGCCATTGCAAGATCTGTGCAAAACTGCTCTGTATAAATCCACTTTCCGTAGCTGGAAAAGAGATGGCTTAAGGAGGTCAGAACCTAAACTCAAAACTTCAGGTTGCAGAGGAATTAAAGTTGGAAGGCACTTTTGGAGGTCCTCTGGTCCAGTCCCTTCTTGGTTTGCCAGCTAAGCCTGTGCGAGGTGGCTATGATGGAAATTTCTTACATATATGTGTGTATATATATATAACCATTAATGTTTAACATTCAGGGGGCTCTTTGCATGTTTCAGATTGCTTGAATCATACCTTCACAAAGCAGAGAGGGAGGAGATCACTACGTGCCAATAGGCATTTATTAATTTAGATCAGGGTTGGGTTTTTTTTTAATACTCTGTGCAAAGATCTCTAAATTGATATTTCACTCCACAATTACTTAAAAACTTCATTTTGCCAATGAGACTTTTACCATGTCAGGGGCTAAACAGAGCTGAATTCATGTGGTTTATTTTCCTCACTAAAAAATATGCATACTAATCCTAATCCTCATTAAAGAATTTCTTACTTGATTTATAACATTTATATAGCTCTTTTGAGTGCTCAGTGGTCAGGTGTAACTTTAACACAAACTGAGATTACACAAACTTAATGTTCAGGAACATATTCTTCAGGTCTTTGGCAGTGCATATGTCCATAAATTTTTTGCAATGCCATCTGGGCAGCATTTAATCATTTATGGAACAAGAGCAACCTTTGTGGGCAGAGGTGCCTACTGCAGGTACAACTGGGTTCACCAACCGAGGGACAAAGGATTAATGAAATGGTGCTCTCTCATTTTCATAGCCTCTTTTACAGGCCCCTTAGCACTAAAGGCACTCTTTCTATACTGGAAATATGTTGAAATTGTAGAATAGGATCTCTGATGAGAAATCACTGATTTCCACAGCACTAGGAAAAAAATCTTCTTTATTGGTCCTTCTTCAAAAGACATGGTAAAGCACATTACTTAAAGGTGTCATTAATGTACTGATACACTATTCTCTTAGCAGTCCAAACCCATGGAAATCCACATTACAGTTTGGGAATCTAATCTTCTTTTTATTATGTCCAGTAAATTTCTTTTCTCTTTTTTTTTTTTTTTTGCTTTCATTTCCAAGGAAGTAAGTTTAATACCTATGTAAAAATAATCACCACTTTAGTCAAATTTAACAAATAATTATATGAATT